GCAGACACCATAACCACCGTAGACTCCTCCAGAGAGCAAGGCAGGGACAAGGTCTTACAAGAGCTTAGTATTGATTTAGCAAGGGAGTATGATAAGCATAGCAATCCCTTGTAGCAGATTCCCCCCAATAAGAGATGGCATTCCAAACTGAGGGTGAAGTAGAACTAAAGCTATTAATCAAACACTCTGCTTTTATGCCCATTTTACAAACATAGTACCGCCCACAGGGTTTTGAAGAACAAAACAATCAATAAATTACAGCACAGCTAAACACTTTCATTCATACCAGCAGAAATCCTCCCCTCTGTATGTGATACAATTACTGAACACAATGGGCTAACATAATTATCCCAGGCAGGAAAATACACAATATTGCACAATATTCATAACTTTAAAAGTATACATCACATTCACATAAAACGTACATCTTCAGAATCAGCATACTCCAAATACAAACATGTTTTAAAATCATACAAATTGGTCCAGTGGTTCAAAAGATAGATGGAAGACCTATTTGACTGACTGCAAGCATGGCTTGGGTGTGGTAAGCCAATTATCTCCAGCATACAGAAAATATCTCTGTGACAGACCCATCTGTATAACTATTATTGCTGGTTCGTCTAGTTTGCCTCCCCTTCGTGAAATTGCCTGTCCGTATACCCCTATTCGTATGTTTGACTTTTTATTGAATGAACCTACCGAACGGACGGCCACCCAGAAGAGAAGTGTGCTGCTGGTTAACCTCTTGATCCCAATTAGAACGTTGTGGTTAACCACAGACACCTCTTAATTATAACCGAATGCAGGGTGGTCGTCGTTCGTATGCCGACCATGAGGCGGCGGCCATTTTAAACCATGCGAAAGACCAGCGGTGTTCGGCGCAGATTCTATGGAACTAAAAACGGAAACTTTTTCTGCCGAACACCGCTGAGACTACAGACCGCCCTTCTCATTCGTCAAGGCATGCGAACACCGGCCTGTTCGGGAGTTTGGATTATACGAATGGACTTAACCCAGATAACCATCCCATGGAGTCAATCGCATACCGAAAGGTTGTAAAAGACTTTGACTCCATGGCGATTGAACTGTACGTATGGGATCTGAGCGCTATTCGCTAAGAATATGCACTCAGATCCAGGCTATCTGGGGATACGTTGCACAAATGTAATATGTTCGGTAGTTGTGTAATTATTTATTTTCATGTGTTTTTTGTATCTTACTTAAAATGCCAATTTACCTCTGTCCTGGGAGATAATTGAATTACTTCTCAATTATCTCCAGGGCAGAGGGGAGGAAACCGGGATGCATTATGGGAATATTTTGTGCCTGTATGTCTTAAAGTGCCATATGTCTGTCTGTCATTACAGTCTCCCATTTGGTCCCCTAGGGGAGTGTCCACCAAGTGGGAGACCTGCATAAATACGGGCGGGTATCCCACAGTAAAGTCAGTTCTTGTTTTACCCTCTCGTTATTGGGCGGGATTTACTACACACGGTTAGGAACTGATTGCTGGAACCGTAAGCTGCTTGGAGGATATATTTGTTCGTCTGTTAGCCGCGATTCGTGGCTTTATTGTTCGGGAGCTTGGAGCATCCGTACGGGGCCCATTCGGGAGATTGGCGCATTCCCCTGGTTGCAGTTTGTACGGTTTAAGTATATACGAATGGAGCTTGCATTATTGCGAAAGGGGAAGCTTAACTAAATTGCAGTTTCACTCCTTTGTGCCAGCGGTGTCTTAACAATCTCCATTTACAATAACAGTAAAAACACATAAAAATACATAATTCCTATCATACTGAACAAAACCCCCACATTCCCCAGATAGCTTGGATCTGAGCGCTCACTATATCCGAACAGCGCTTAGATCCCACAAACACAGTCAAATCACCATGGGGTTAAACCATAGCAACAAATTCCAACTGGTCTGGCAGTGTCCCTGGGACAATGCCCTGCTGGAGAACAATAGACAGGAAACGGGGGAGGAGCACACCTTCTCATGTATTCAAAGGGGCAGAAAAAGGGTTTCAAAATCCAATAAGCCCAAATAATGCTTACACAGGGCAAAGTCTCCCAGGGGCCATAGTCACATGGCAGGAAGCGGGCAATCAGTCTTCTTCCCGCTTCTCAAAAAAAAAAAAACTACAAAATTTTTAAAATGTGTTATATTTTTTACATTTTTTAAAACATTTATTGAACAAATTTGTAAACATTTTAAAACCCCTGCCCCCTCTACAAAATCCCTGCACCCCCTCACACACAGTTAGAGACAGTCACACACAGTTACAAGCAGACAGTCACACGCACACAGTCACATGCAGACAATCACACACACAGTTACAGGTCACAGTCACGCACACTGTTACAGGCAGACAGTCACATATACAGTCACACACACGGTCACAGGCAGACAGTCATACACATAGTTACAGCCACAAACACACACAGTTACAGGCAGTTACACACACAGTCAGTTACAGGCAGTCACACACAAAGTTACATGCAGACAGTCACAGGCAGACAGTAACACACAGTTACAGGCAGCATCACACAGTCACAGGCATGCAGTCACACACACACGCAGTTACAGGTAGACAGTTACGCACACACAGTTACAGGTAGACAATTACGCACGTACACACAGTTACAGGCAGACCGTTACACACACGGTTACAGGTAGACAGTTATGCACACACACACAGTTACAGGCAGACACTTACACACACGTACACACAGTTACAGACAGACAGTTACACACATACACAGTTACAGACACACACACAAGACAGACAGTCACACACACACACACACACACAGTTACAGACAGACAGTCACACACACACACACACAGTTACAGACAGTCACACACACACACAAACACAGTTTCAGGCAGTTACACACACACAGTTACAGACAGTCACACACACACAAACACAGTTTCAGGCAGTTACACACACAGTTACAGACAGTCTCACACACACACACACACACAGTTTCAGACAGTCATCCACACACACACACAGTTACAGACAGTCACACACACACACAAACACAGTTTCAGGCAGTTACACACACAGTTACAGACAATCACACACACACAGTTTCAGACAGTCATCCACACACACACACACACACACACACAGTTTCAGGCAGTTACACACACACACACACAGTTACAGACAGTCACAAACACAGTTTCAGGCAGTTACACACACACACACAGTTACAGACAGTCACACACACACAAACACAGTTTCAGGCAGTTACACACACACAGTTACAGACAGTCACACACACACACACAGTTTCAGACAGTCATTCACACACACACACACACACACACACAAACACAGTTTCAGGCAGTTACACACACACACTCTTATACTTACTTACAGTGTGGGCTGGAGGAGTGGAGGTGCAGGGATTTCTACTTGCAAACGTTCAAAATCAGCAAAATACTTTTTTTCCCCCTCACTGTAACATGTGGATTTATTGACACAAATGGTAACCCTAATCTCATCTGGTTCACCGCTAGTAGAATGCATGAACTTGGAACCTCTTATTATATTACACGATACACATCCTAAACAGCGACATACAAAGAAACAAAACAATTCCTCCCCCTATCATCCTTAAAGGACCACCATAGAGCCAGGAAAACAAACTCGTTAGTGCCCTGAGGGTGCCCCCACCCTCCCCCGCCAGGCCGAAGGGCGAGGAAGGGGTTAAACACCTACCTTTCTCCAGCGCCGGGCTCCCTCAGCTCTCCTTCGGTCGTCATTGGCTGAATGCACATGCGCAGCAAGAGCCGCGCGCGCATTCTGTCAGTCCATAGGAAAGCATTCTCAATGTGAAAATCACAGTGAGAAGTGCGGAAGCGCCTCTAGCGCCTGTCAATGAGACAGCCACTAGAGGCTGGATTAACCCATAGGTAAACATAGCAGTTTCTCTGAAACTGCTATGTTTACAGCAGAAAGGGTTAACCCTAGATGGACCTGGCACCCAGACCACTTCATTAAGCTGAAGTGGTCTGGGTGCCTATAGTGGTCCTTTAACAAAATAAGATTTAAATAATTAAATAATGCACCTGTTTTAAAAGACAAATGTCATCAAATGTTAATTTTTCATTCAAAATATATATATATTCCATTTATCAAAACATAATGATTTTTTTAAAATGTATGTATTGATTTTTTTGAGAAAATGTCACTTATATCTGGCTGTAGAATAAATATGATCTTCATACATGTCGTTATATGGGCAGAGTTTTAGCTAAAAGGTCTGACATCATTATGGTCGTAACTTTATAGAATAGCGGACGGAGGACCATGAGGTTTGTTGTCTGTCTATTCTCTGACCTCGAAGACTCGATCTCTCCCTTCCTGAGTCCAGTAATTACCATCTGATGTTGAACATCCATCATCCTGTAACGTCATATATTGTTTTATTATATATTAGTAACTGTTAGCAGAATAAACCTACAGAAAACGTAAGTTTGATGCATATTGACATTTCTGATCTGAACGCAGAAGTTTATAATATTATGCACATTATCATCACGATGAGCCACCCAACTAAAAGAAGAAGAAAGGTATATTTTAGAAGAAGGAAGTGCAAGTTCACACAGAGCTATCACAGCAGCAACAGATTATGTTGAGCAGCCAGATTAAAAAAATCAATACACATTATTAAAAAAATGATTATGTTTCTTTAAATGTGATAAACGTTCAAAGTGATAATTTGATGCCAGTTGTCCTTTTAATGCCGTCAATGGGACACTTTGGAATTCTTCTAGACTGGTATATCCTTTCTGGACAATGGAGCCATGTTATGTACAGCCGTCTGATATATAAACCAAATTCTGCCACAAACATCTTACTGCACTTCATTTCCACGCAGTTTCGATTGCAAAACTCAGTGGGGTAATCCCTATAACCAAACCTTAGAACTATTTCATCTGATCATCATTTTGATATTAAAAACCTGTTGATTTATAATTCTAGGACAATCTCAGAAGGAATGGGCTCCTGTGCAAAACTGGGCAGGAATATGCAACTGGATAACTGTTACACTGTACTTCGATGGATCTGTGAGCCGGCGGCCTCCAAGCAGAGTGTCATCACCAGGGTCCAAGCATGTCTTGAGAAGGATGATCTCAAAGTCAACAGATCAAGGGCAGATAACGTATGAAACAGCATCATGACTGGATCCCCTATAGCACACCACCATGACTGGATCCCCCACACCAATACCATCATGACTGGATCTCCAACACCATGCCATCATGACTGGATCCCCCACCGCATCATGACAGGATCCCCTGCCCCACACCATCCTGACTAGATCCCCCAACTCACGCCATCATGACTGGATCCCCTACCCCACGCCATCCTGACTGGATTCCCCATCCCACGCCATCATGACTGGACCCCCCACCCCTTACCATCCTGACTGGATCCCCCACCCCACACCATCATCACTGGATCCCCTACCCCACGCCATCCTGACTGGATCCCCCAACCCATGCCATCATGACTGGATCCCCCACCCCACACCATCCTCACTTGATCCCCTACCCCACACCATCATCCATGGATCCCATACCCCACACCATCACTGGATCCCCTACCCCACGCCATCCTGACTGGATCCCCCAACCCACGCCATCATCACTGGATCCCCTACCCCACGCCATCCTGACTGGATACCATACACCAAGGCAATCATGCGTGGATCCCTTACCCCATGCCATCCTGACTGGATCCCCCAACCCACTCCATCATGACTGGATCCCCTACCCCACGCTATCCTCACTGGATCCCCTACCCCACACCATTACTGGATCCCCTACCCCACACCATCACTGGATCCCCTACCCCACGCCATCCTGACTGGATACCATACACCAAGGCAATCATGCATGGATCCCTTACCCCACGCCATCCTGACTGGATCCCCCATACCATCATGACTGGATCCCCTACCCCACGCCATAATGCCTGGATCTCGTACACCAAGGCCATCACACCATCACATCGACTGGATCCCCACACCATCATGACTGGATCCCCTACACCATTTCTTGACTTTATATTCCGCAAAAAATGCTGTAATGGAGATACGGGAGTAATAAATGTTTAATAAAGACAATACAAATTTCTATATATTAAGAAGATACAAACGAGAAAATGTTTAAATCAGTACTGGGTTAAACTTAAGGTAAGAACCAGGGGTCACAATGTTACAGAGATACAATAAATCTCACAGCAAATTGCACTTGGTATAATTATATCACAGAGCTCCACAGCAATAAATCTCACAGTAATGTTTGCTGTGTATCACAGAGCTCCAAAGCAATAAATGTCTCAGTAACATGCTGTATGTATAAAACAAAACTCACAGTATTGTGCAGTGTGTATTGGGTTATTACAGAGCTCCACAGTAATAAAACTCTCAGTAATGTAAAGTGTGTATCACAAAGCTCCACAGCAATAAAACTCACAGTAATGTAAAGTGTGTATCACAAAGCTCCACAGCAATAAAACTCACAGTAATGTAAAGTGTGTATCACAAAGTTCCACAGCAATAAAACTCACAGTAATGTAGTTTGCCCCTAGTTCTCATTAGTTAATCAGAGGAGTGTTGGCCTTTGATGAACACACTCCAGGCTGACTGACAGCCTCCCTCCTATATGCACAGATTTATTTTTTTATTTGGTCTATAAAAAGACACACATACCATTGATCAGAATATACACACTGACAGGATTATTTATTATCTGGACCTGAAATTCACTTTAAAGTCTCACTTTAGTAAATAACCCTGTATGAGAGGGGGACTCTCACTACCAATGTGTCACTTCAGTGTTTTGCCGACAATGAGTCCTTGCCCTCTGTGCATTTTTCTGGGCAAATTCCTGATCTCCTGGCAGCAGCTGGTGAATCACCATTAAGTACCGGTAGTTACAGATACCCCACTTTATGTTGTACTTGGTGAACCGCGAACTTGGAAGGAGCTTTATCTTAGCTCTCCTGGCCAAAATCCCAATATAGGCATCTTCCACTGGAATTGGTGGAATAGTCTCAGCCACATTCAGGATTGTTCTAGTCACATCAAGAGATAAAATGTACCCAATGCCACTAGCGTACGGGGGGTAGAACTCCAGCTGGAAGTGTTGTCGTGAAACATACCATTTGCTGGTGTGATCCCGTATTACCATACGTTTCTCCCTGGGAAACACTGAGCCAACATAAAGACCAGTTTTGGCCATGTTATGATTGGCTAAAAAGGCAGGAAGATGGTCAGTGTTGACAAAGCAGTCATCATCGGTTTTGAGAATGTACTGTGGTTGACACCTTTCTGATGCCCACTTCATCCCATGCATCACTTTCAACGTAAGATTTCGGTAGGTGTCCAGGTAGTTGCCCATCAGGATATCACCGTAAGCCTCTTGCTCCTTATGAATATGCCAGTCCAATTCAATGTCCACTGTACGACCAATCAGAAAGACAACTTGCCAGGTGTAGGTTGCTTCTGTGACTGGCGCAGCCCACGTCTCTCTTACTGCCTTCCTTGATTTGCGGTGTCCCGGATGGGAAGTCACTAAGATCATGAGGACCTGGTGGTCCTGGCATTTTGGTTCTTGCAGATCTTCTAAAAACAAAGATGAAAAATCAACCCCAGTTTTTTTGGAGGACAAGAAAGGTAAGATCGAACTCCATTGACCATTAATAAGTGGCCTAGGAAGCTGAAACCAGAGCAATATGAGACAGAAGAAAGCACACAGCATGAGTTTCATACAATATGTGCGTTTCAGTGACATTTCAGAAGGTCCAGTAAGTGACCACTGTTTGTACTTCTATAATGCAACAGACAGAGCTGAGCTCACTGCACACTGGATGTACTCTGAATCTGTAAACATTCAGGACAATGTTCACACTCTCTGCAGCAAGCACAGAAAATATTTAAATATGAAACTCTTACCCCACTCTAATGTGACAGCTTTCTCACTCTATCCTGCCAGGACAGGAGATGGCCAGCTCTATTCCAGTGATTCAACTTCTAGCAGGCATGGTCTGTGGCAAATCAGGCAATTTGCACCACTAGACCTTCTAGCCATTGCATAACATGTCTGGATGGGAAGAAACGTGCTTTTATAATTCCACACTTCATGTAATATCTGTGGAATTACAGCTGTGTAAAACACACACTATCCTAAGCTAGTAAATAATACAGTGAACATAACCAGCAGACGACCTGAACTCTGAACGTTATCCTGTTATCAGAATAGGGAGAGGAGCATGGAATGTGGGGAAAAGGAGACACAGGCATTACTAAATTCTACTATCAAAACAAGGAGATCAAAGTACAGAGGACGTGTGAATTTAAATTACTCACTGAAATGAGTAATTTTTGTGCAATGGCTGTACAGTTATATGTTTTTATGTGTTTTATTGTCTTTTGCTGCCATGTGTTCAATGGAGTTTTGCCTCTGTCCTGGGAGATAATTGGATTACTTCCCAATTATCTCCAGGATAGAAGACTCTGTGGAACTGGTTTTGGGCAGAAAAGCCATGCTTCCTTTGGTCACAAAGGACTACGATCTATCTTTTGAACCACTGGACCAATTTGGATGATTTTGACATATGTTTGTATTTGGAGTATGCTGATTCTGAAAATGTGAATGTGAATTCTCTGTGAATGTGATGCATACTTTTCAAGTTATGAATAATGTGGAAAATTGTATTTCTCTGCTTGTGATAATTACATTACCCATTGTGTAAGGTAATTGTATCACAGTCAGAGGGGAGGATTTTGTGTGGGAGTGTCTGAGTGTATTGTATGTGTTTATTGGTTGCGTTCCAAAACCCTGTGGGTGGTGCTAAGGTGTATATAAGAAAAATAAACCCACAGCTCTGTTTGTTCCTGCTTGACCCTCAACACGGAGCCTTGTCTCGTTCCTGGGGGGTGTTACAAAAGACTCAAAATGACTGTGTTACTGTTAATACCGATTGCTACTGTTGCCACTCTATACTGTTAAGCCGAGGAAAACGCGAATGGATTACACAAACTCTTATAAAGACTCTATTCGTGATACGAACGAGGGACCCCCCAAATGCTGGCGTGTGCCGCCACTTAACCTCGTCACCCCGCAAAGTGCCGAACGCTCGACCACCCGACCAGCGGAGTGTGGCAGCCATTAACCACCCAGGCGGCTGCGGTCTGCGGTTAACCACAGACTAATTGATGGGCCTGGGGGGGATCGACGTTCGCACCCAAAGTACCGAAGGGAACCTACCGAACAACCACACGAACGGAGACCCCCTACAGTGGGTCGTGTGGCAGCAATTAGCCTGTGGTTTCTGCGGTTAACCGCAACTCAAGTACCATGCTACCAGGTGGTCCTCGTTCATGTACCGAACGAGTTCCACTACCAGACCAACAGCGGGGCTTCACATGAATTGATACCCGAATTTAGTTCCATAAGTTGGAAGCGAGGTCCCGCTGCTCGCTAAACCGTCTGAAAACATGGCCGCCATCAGAGACTCACAATCCAAAGTGCCGAACGGACTTTATACGACAGAAATAACCCATTCTGTTTGTGGGATTAGAGCGCCATTCGTATGGTTAATTTATCTGAAAGCGAGCTATTATGGATTTTTATGCAGTTTTCTGGGACATAATAAAACGTGGTCTTTTGTGCGCTTGGAGATAATTAGATTGTATAACCTTTGGCCATCGAGAAGGCTATCCACCATACGCTGGAAGGTAGCCGGAGCATTCTTCATCCCAAATGGCATGACCTTAAACTGGTACAGACCAAATGGGGTGACGAATGCCGACTTAGGGATAGCATCCTCGGCCAGGGGGATCTGCCAATAACCCTTACACAGGTCTATGGTGGTCTGATAGCGCCCCCTGGCAATGCAGTCTAATAACTCGTCTACTCGGGGCATCGGGTAGACGTCAGTGGTGGTCCGTTCGTTGAGCCGCCTGTAGTCCACACAGAACCAGGTGGTCCCATCTTTCTTAGGCAGGAATTGACTTTTTCCGCCGAATAAAACTACCGAACGGACGGCCACCCAGAAGAGAAGTGTGCTGCTGGTTAACCTATTGATCCCAATTAGAATATTGTAGTTAACCGCAGATACTTGTCAATTAAGAACCGAATACCGGGTGGTCGTCGTTCGTATGTCGACCATGAGGCGGCGGCCATTTTAAACCATGCGAAAGACCAGTGGTGTTCGGCATTGATTTCATGGAACTGAAAACGGACACTTTTTCCACCGAGCAGAGGGGAGGAAACTGTGATGCATGCTGGGAATATTGTGGGGTTGTATGTCGAAAATGTCCCCATGTCCTTCTGTTATTCCAGTCTCCCACTTGGTCACCAATTGGGAGACCTGCATAAATACGGGCAGGTAACCCACAGTAAACTCAGTTCGTGTTTTACCCTCAAAGCGGAGCTTGGTCTTTATTATTGGGCGGATTTTATTACCGGCGACTAGAGACTGCTTATTGGAATTATTTGTCGCTTGGAAGATATTGGCATTCGGCTAATATTGGCAATTCGTGTATTTGGAGCTCGAGAAGGGAAGGAGCCGTACAGGTACCGTTCGGGAGTTTGGAGTGTTCCCTGGCTAGCGGTTCGAATGGTTATACTGCATACGCTACCAGACCACATTATTGCGAACGGGGAGCATTCACTAAACGGCGGTTTGTACATTTACTACTGGAGGTACCGTAACAGAGACTAAGTCCCAATCGGCGATGGGACTTAGTCGTTTTGTCAGCCTGAAATAGACCGACCGCACAGCCAAAATCTATGGAACTGTTTTGGGCAGGAAAATGTGCTTGCGGTCGGTCATAAAGGGACCTCCAGCTAACTTTTTAACCCCTGGATGGATTTGGCTGATTTTTGGTTATGTTTATGTTTAAAGTGTGCTGATTAATAAGTAACGGGATAACTCATAACAATAAGAATATAGTTGTAACGGACCGTTTTGCCCACAAGAGGTTAAAAACGTTTAGGCGATATTCCCCTTTTTCAGATGCACAGACAGCTACTGCAAACCCACGAATTCACCAACTCCCGAACTGCAACCAAGGGAATACTCCAAACTCCCAAACTAGAGACACACGAATAGCTGTTAGCAGATGAACAGGAAAAGCCCACAAGCGGCTTACACTCCTGGCAATCAGTCTCTAACAGCATACAGTAAATCCCCCCAAAGACGAGATGACACTTCGGTTTGAGGGTCAAGCAGAATCTGGTTTACTGGGGCTAACTGCCCGGCTTTTATGCAGGTCTCCCACCTGGTGGACACTCCCCTAGGGGACCAAATGGGAAACTGGGAAACATATTGACCCTTAGCCAATCACATACATACACCTTTAAACACTCCCACAATTACATCACAATCCCTCCTCTCTGTCCTGGAGATAATTGGGAAGTAATCCAATTATCTCCCAGGACAGAGGCAAAACTCCATTAACCACATGGCAGTAACAATACAGTAAAATACATAAAATTACATACAGTTACATTTACTACATAAAACATAGACATTCTACATATCCCCAGATAGCTTAGATCTGAGCGCACATTACTACCGAATGGCACTCAGATCACATACATACAGTTCAATCGCCATGGAGCCAAAGTCTTTCCCATAGTCTTTCGTTACACGAATAGGCTCCATGGCTTAGCTATCTGGGGGATGCTGTTCATCCGGCGAAACTACCGAATGAACAGTCATTCGGCTCTGCTTACCGAACGGGAAGGTAAGGAGGCTGGCGGCTCAGCGGTGTTCGCGCCAATAAGTGTCCGTTTTCAGTTCCATAGTTTGGGCGCTGAACACCGCTGGCCGTTCGGGAGGTAAAATGGCCGCTGCCACGTGTTCGGCAGACGAACAAAGGCCACCCAGCGTTCATCAATTAAGCTGCGGTTAACCGCAGCTTCTGGGCGGTCAATTGACGGCACACTCCAGTTCCCAGGTGGTCCATCGTTCGGTAGTTTGTTCGGTAGATGGAATCTACCGAACACCCTGGCAGAAAGGCACGAATAAACCTTTCAGCAGGGAAAATAACAGCTCTGAACTGCAGGGCCATAATCTAAAGGGAGCAGGCGAGCAACCAGGCTTCTCCAGTGCATAGTGGCGAGGTTGGTTCCGCCACACTTCTCCCCTTTACCAATCAGACTAACAGGGTATCTGACCTCCTGCCGGTCAGTGCCCTTGTTAGTCCAGCAGCCCACCCACAAAACACAATCAGTAATACAGCCCACCCACAATAACTGGCTACTACACCTGGGTAGAGGAAAACTTTGTCCGTGTCCAGGTGCCTCACCATGGCTGTGTGGTTGACTGGTCAGCGTACTGGGTGGGTTGCTGAGTGGGCAGAGACCAGCGGTACTCTGTCCTGGTGCCAGCACTACCACGGGAGTAGTCTGGTTGGAGCCTGGTTGCTGGAGGGGGAAACCGACTGTCTCCCCTTTGGATACACAGCTCTGCTGCCGGAGGGGGAGACTGACTGTCTCCCCTTTGGCTAAAGAGCCCGGTCGCTGGGGGGTAGAATCGACTGTCCCTACCCCCTGTGCTGTAAGTGCAGAGACCATGGTCCCATCTGCACGGTCGTGGGGCTTACTGTCTCCCCTGGGTATGTCAAGCTGCCGCTGGGGAGAGGGGGTAACCATCTCCTCTCCCATATATCCTTTCAGCCGCTGGGGAGAGGGGGTAGCAGGCTCCTCTCCCTGAAACTCTCTCTGCTGGTGGAGAGGGGGACCGACCGTCTCCACTTTCAATATTTTGTCCTGCTGCTGGGGTGCGAGACCGACGTTCTCTGCTCCCTGCAGGACACCCTGCCGCTGGGGAGGAAGGACTACACCTTCGGCTCCCTGGGACACACATTGCCGCTGGGGAGGAAGGACGACACCTTCAGCTCCCTGGGACACACACTGCCGCTGGGGAGGAAGGACGACACCTTCAGCTCCCTGGGACACACACTGCCACTGGGGAGGACGGACGACACATTCAGCTCCCTGGGACACACACTGCCGCTGGGGAGGAAGGACAACACCTTCGGCTCCCTGGGACTCATGCTGCCACTGGGGAGGAAGGACGACACCTTCGGCTCCCTGGGACTCACACTGCCGCTGGGGAGGAAGGACGACACCTTTGGCTCCCTGGGACACACACTGCCGCTGGGGAAGAAGGACGACA